TCCCCTACCTCCCCCCCCCCCCCCCGTGTCTTGTGTCCATTGGTTATGCTTATATGCATGCATACAAGTCCTTCGGTTGATCTCCCCGCCCCCCCAACCCTCCCCGGCCTTGCCGCTGTAGTTTGATAGTCTGTTCGATGCTGCTCTGCCTCTGTATTTATTTTTGTTCATCAGTAAACTATTGCAGTTAATTTATATCTCAATAAAATTGTGGGAAATGAAGTACAGGTTAAACAGTGTAATTAAGTAAACTATAGTCTGGTTAAGTGATTTACATCGTGTTGCTGAAAACACTAAACAGTTTTTACCAGTTCCTGAAATGATACACATTGATGAGAAGTAGAAGCAAAGTGTATGACCAAAGAAGGAGGTGAACAGGTTCTCTTGCCTTTTCCCCATATGGAGTTGTTTCACAATGAGAAGGATGGAAGAACAGGACTTGTTAGAGATGTAGAACTGCGACATCAGTCTCTAAATGATAGAGAAATCATTATTTAGTCATTCCTGTAAGTTATATTTCTGTTTTACAAAGAGATGTAAGTTCTTAAGAACTTGTATATGAGCTGAAGAGCCAATGGTCTAAAACAGAAATCAGTGTGGATATATCAGAAGCAGAGTTTTGAGATCTTCATTCAGCACTATCAGCGTAGCTAAGACATTAAGTACCATGAGGAACTTGAGAAGGTCTCCCCGACCATGAGATCATGATGGACCAGTTGATCTTGAAACGTAACCTGAATTTCATGCAGCTGGCATTTCCTAATTTCCTGTAATCCCCTCCTCCCCACTCCCCATGACTCAGTGGTGGTTACAGCACCAGTGAAGTGCCAACCTTTTCATCCTTGCCATTATGATTAACATTTTGGAAAAATTAGAAGAAACCATGTGATATATATAGGGAACACGTTTCCTAAGTGTTATACAAAAGCACCAAGACACCAGATTTTGTTGTAAAAATGTAAAACCTTTATTTTGAAGATAAGAGAATTTTGAAAAATAAAGTGCTTGGTGTTAGCAGTGCTCAGAAAAATACAGGATGGAAAATATGGGTAAATGACAGGGATAGAAATTTGGTGGAAGTATACACTTGTAGGAAAATTCTGCTCCTATGAATCTATTCTCCAAAACTAATCTAAGTGCCCAGAGATGGTCACCATATAACATAATAAAAATTATAAACACTTAGATGGCCATGAAAGTGGTGACTAGTCTGTAGTATGGCTATGAACTATGAAACACTGACCTTGAACAAGTTTGTTTTCTGTGCCTTGTTTTCCTCTTGTGTAAACTGGGAATAAAGATTACACCTTTGGAGTTGTGAAGATTAAGAGTAACCTATAAAGCTCTTGCAGCAGCACTTGGTATAGAATAAGCATTCTCCAAATTTTAGTGGGTATTATTACTATGCAGCCATTAAAAAGAATGAGACAGATAACTATATAATAATGTAAAAGGGTTTTTACATTAATATATACTGTGATTTTTATTTCAATGATTTTTAAAAATACATATTTTTATTGATTTCAGAGAGGAAGGGAGAGGAAGAAAGAGAGAGAAACATCAATGATGGGAGAGAATCATTGATGAGCTGCCTCCTGCACTCCCCACATTGGGGATCAAGCTCACAACCTGGGCATGTGCCCTTGACTGGGAATCGAACCCAGGACCCCTCAGTCCACAGGCTGATGCTCTATCCATTGAGCCAAACTGGCTAGGGCTTCAATGATGTTTTAATAAGTGTTATCTGTAGAGAAAGGTCTGGAAGATCAATATTATCAGTTTGATGTTTATTTATTGGATGAGGGGAGTGATGGCTGGGTTTTCACCTTTTAAAAGCATGCTTTACTTTTGTAATAAAGAAATTACATTGATGGATATACCAGATGTTATATACTCTAACCCTGCTTAGTGATTGATGGGTTGCCTCTACAGCATCTAATGAGTGGTTGTCTTACACCTTAGTAACTGGTAACTTGCCTACTTAGGACCAGCTATGCCATTTTTATTCATATTTATTATAAAATATTCCACATAAGGAACTAAAATATACTTGTCTGTTTTATACATTAGTTTTTCAGTTTGCAGCCACACGGAAGTCTGATGGCTTATTGATAGTTGGAGGCAAATTCATCACCCTTTATTTCCAAGTTAGTCTTTTTTTTTTCTTTTTCTTTTTTTTTTATTGATTTTTTACAGTGAGGAAGGGAGAGAGATAGAGAGCCTGAAACATCGATGAGAGAGAAACATCCATCAGCTGCCTCCTGCACGCCCCCCACTGGGGATGTGCCTGCAACCAAGGTACATGCCCTTGACCGGAATCAAACCCGGGACCCTTGAGTCCGCAGGCCGACGCTCTATCCACTGAGCCAAACCGGTTCTGGTCCAAGTTAGTCTTATTAGCTCTTTCAGTTTTTCATGTAATTATTTTCAAACCCTTTACTATTTTGATGGCTTTCTTTGGTGCCCAGACTTGAATGCAGTTATGTAAATAGAGTCTGGTTGATATTCTGGACACTTTTCTTCTGCTCTTACAGCCTAAGGATACTTCTTGGGCTTTAGCTGGAAGGGCAGTTAAGGTTGCCAGCGGCTTTCTCACACCTGCTCTTTCTCCCTACATCTCTAATCCTTTTTAGTCTAAATATATAATTTTAGCAGCGATCACTATTAAACCTCATTCAGCTAAACTGAGTCTGAAATCTCTTTGGCTCCTAAATTTTTTTCATTATTCCTAGCTTTGTGACATTCTTTTTTTTTCTTCTTTATTGATTAAGGTATTACATATGTGTCCTTATTCCCCCCATTGTCCCCCCTACCCCCTGACTCATGCCCTCACCCCCCTGTTGTCTGTGTCATTGGTTAGGCTTATATGCATGCATACAAGTCCTTTGGCTTTGTGACAGTCTTCAAATTGATGATTAGCATAAGTCTCTGATGCTTGTTTATTTAAAGAAATAATGTTTGCGAGTATGTACTTCGTTAATTGACAAAATATATATTTTAATATATTTTTATTGATTTCAGAGAGGAAGTGAGAGGGAGAGAGAGAGATAGAAACATCAATGATCAGAGAGAATCATTTATTGGCTGCCACCCTGGCATATGCCTTTGACCGGTACCCCTTTAGTCCGCAGGCCAACACTTTATCCACTAAGCCCAAACCAGCTAGGGTGACAAATACTTTATTTGGCATCCATTGTGTGCCAGCACAGTGCTGGGGGCTAGGAAGTCAGTGATGACTGATGACTGCCTTCGTGAAGCTTTTGGTCTAGCGGGGAAGACATGCAGTGTGCTGAATGTTCGGAAAGGAAAGGACAGGACCGCTCTCTGAGGGCACATCGTAAGGGATTCCAACCTAACCTTGAAATTCATGGAAAGCTTTGCTATTTGGAGGAGAAGAGGTATGTGAAGACTCAGAAAGAACTCTGAGGAACTGAAGAACATTATGCTTGAAGCTTAGAGGGGAAGGGAGAGTGTTAAAGAAGTAAGCTGCAGTTGAGTCACGATGGTTGTTATAAACCATGGTTAAGATAATAAACTTCAACCAGGCATGTTGGCACGTGTCTGTAGTCCCAGCTTTGGCGTTGGGGGGGCGGGGGGCAGGGATCTGAGGCAGGAAGAGCGCTTGAGCCCAGGAGTTCTGGGTTACGGTGCGCTATGCCGATTGGGTGTCCACACTAAGTTCAGCATCAATATAATGAGAAAGGGGACCAACAGGTTGCTTAAAAAGGGGTTGAACCGGCCCAGTTCAGAAACTGAGCAGGTCAAGATACTAAACATTTCTTTAAAAAAATTTTTTTTAAATATATTTCTTCATTGATTTCAGAGAGGAAGGGAGAAGGAGAGAGAAATAGAAACATCAACGATGAGAGAGAATCACTGATCAGCTGCCTCCTGCACAACCCCCACTGGAGACCGAGCCCACAACCCGGGCATGTGCCCTTGGCTGGAATTGAACCCAGGACCCTTCAGTCCGCAGGCTGACGCTCTATCCACTGAGCCAAGCCAGCTAGGGCTTTTTTAAATTTTCTTTAACAAAATATAGAACACTTCACGAATTTGCGTGCCATCCTTGCTCAGGGCCCATGCCAATTTTAGTAGCACTTTATTTTTATTTTAAGTATAGTAATTAAGAAGAAGCTATTGAACGATTTTTTTTTTTTTTTAATATATTTTATTGATTTTTTACAGAGAGGAAGGGAGAGAGATAGAGAGTTAGAAACATCGATGAGAGAGAAACATCGATCAGCTGCCTCCTGCACACCTCCTACTGGGGATGTGCCCGCAACCCAGGTACATGCCCTTGACCGGAATCGAACCTGGGACCTTTCAGTCCGCAGGCCGACGCTCTATCCACTGAGCCAAACCGGTTCTGGCTATTGAACGATTTTAAACAAGATTATGATATCACATTGTGGTGGGGTTTTTTTTAATATATTTTATTGATTTTTTACAGAGAGGAAGGGAAAAGGGTAGAGAGTCAGAAACATCGATGAGAGAGAAACATCCATCAGCTGCTTCCTCACACTCCCCACTGGGGATGTGCCCGCAACCAAGGTACATGCCCTTGACCGGAATCGAACCTGGGACCTTTGAGACCGCAGGCTGATGTTCTATCCACTGAGCCCAACTGGTTAGGGCACATTGTGGGTTTTTTAAAAAAATGAGTCTCATCATAGATAGTATCCCTCCAATCCCCACAAAAAACCTAGATTGGGAGCAAACTTAATATACTATAGCAATTTGTAATGTTCCTTCCCTGCTGGTGCTGGAAATAGTTTCAAGTAGGCAAGTAGGGCTTCTCAAGTAAAGGATTTCATTCACTCTGAGTGTCTGCAAAATTTATGGCTCACATTGGAAACATAGTGAAAATGTTTGAGTCATGGTTAAATGTTTAAGTATTTTAGGTTAATTCTATTATGACTTGACTTTTTTGGGACCCATTTAAACTAAAAAACACTTAGTGGTATTTAGAAGGTAATTTCTAATCTTATATATAGTTTTCTTTTAGAAAAGATTTGAATAACTTTGGAATTGGCTACCAAATAAATTAGATTTTTTTCTTACATAAAGCCAATTTATAAAAAGGCCTTTTCTACTGGTTTTAACAAACATCAGTATTTATTTTCGACATAGTTATAAACAACGTTTAAGTATCGTGGCTTATAAACACTCCTTCCTAGATTTTAAGATAAAGTTTGTGTTCAATTCTAAAATGTGGCTAAGTAATAATTTCCTTTAACTTTTACTTGCATTCTTGGTAACCTAGCATAAAGTATACATTGAAGATTTTGTCCAGAGTGGTTCTCTCTCTATTGTGATAGCAGGTTAAAGATCTAAGGACTTAAGAAGCCAAGAGCTGAGTTTGAAAAGTGTCAAATGTTAAACAAGTGGAAGGCTTGTAACAGAATTTATTATTTCATTACACTGTTGAACCCAAGAGACAGAGAAGAAAGGTTCTGGAGGAAAAAATTGCAGAACATCTCCTTGGCAAGAGTAAGAATTTTCCACTACCACTTGCCCTAAGGACACTGACTTGCCCCATCGGGGAAATAGCACTGGATATAATCATCAGAACAGCACTGCCTACTCATGCACAAAACCCTCTGTCTGAAATTCACAGAAGCCTGCAGACAAAGGAAAATTATGCCTTAGTTTGGAAAGTATTCGTTGAATCTTTACTTTCATGGATCTTTTACTTCCGTAGAGAACCTACTTCCTGATAGATTCAAACCTAAATAGACTCTTACAAAATCATGAAGCAGAGTTACACAGCAAGTTAAAGAAAGTCTTTCATTAATTGAGGCTCCTTAGGCAAGACTCCTTTTACTTCTTAACACTACGGTGTCGGGTGAATTTCCCGCCAAAATATAAGATGGCGCGGGCAATTATTTAGGTTTCCCGCGCAAAATCAGAGTTAGTTTAAAATGCCTATATCTTTTGAAGTATGGGTTCGATTGAAATGAAATTTTCGGTTTCTTGTGTAAAAAATGAAAATTTATTCAATCACAGACATTTTTTTATCTATTCAGTACATAAATAATTCGATATATATAAACTAAATACAAAAAACCCAAAAAATACTTATTACCTAAAAATATACACATATTTTTAAAGTTTAAAATAAAATTTTCATAATAAATCAAAACAAATAGAAATTAATAGTTTTTTAGCGTATGATATTTTTCAAAACACGCCCCTTTATGTAGAGGTATATTGCAAAATTTGCACATGTAGCGTGTCTCACTGCGCAATTTATGAACGGAACATACGCGACACCTTCTCAAAATGTTTTTCTTTTTTCCACTTCCGACAATTGCCTGTAACGTATGCTTTCTCGTGTCCATCGATAGCCTGCATGGTGGATCAGATGTAGGTGGTTTAGCCCGCATTCCAGAAGTAGACGGTACTGGTTGAAGGTCTGGAACAATGTCCACGTCCTCTGGAATATCATCCGTCAACCAGTGGATAGCTGTTTGTTTCAAAAACATTTTAAAACCCATTTTTCTTTGCCTCACTGATTTGTAAACTGCATAAGAATTAAATAATGCGCAATTTATCATATACATTGCCAACCTTTTTGTCCATTTGACTGTCCTCCGCAATATCGAATAATATGAAAGGTATTGGTCGGCCCGGTCAACACCTTTCATATGTTTATTGTAGTCAATGAGTGCATTCGGTTTGACAATTTTCTTTTTTGATGTTCTGTCAATATTCTGACTTTCTTCCATCTCCGCAGAATGAATCGAAGAAATCAGGTATACAGGCTTTTTTGATTGCCACACTTGTAACAATATATCATTTTTCCTTATAAATTTTGTTTCACCTTTTTTCAAAGAAATTGTTTGAAAATCTTTAGGTATACCTCGATTTTTCCGGATTGTTCCACATATTCTGAATTTGTTTTTCATAAGTGCTTCACAATTTGCGACGCTATTATAATAATTGTCCATATATGTATGGTACCACGAATCAGTGTATGGAGACACTACTGTTTGTATCGTTTCCAATAATCGCTTTCCTTCGCCGCAATAAATTTCCATGTTACAGATATATCCTGTATCACTTTCGCACAACAAACGAACCAATATTCCATATTTAACGATCTTGCCAGCATTATATACCCTAAAGAATAATCTTCCCCTCCAAGGTACGATCCCTTCATCTAGTGATAATTGCTGATGAGGTTTGTAAATATTTATAAATTTAGGCACAAAATAATCTAGTACTGGTCTCACTTTGCAAAGTCTATCTGATTCATTTACGATATCCGCATTATTATTGAAGTGCCAAGCTTTCCATATCTGTCGGAACCTGTCTCTCGTCATCGTTTTACCAAAATATGGCGTCTCCGTCCATGGCTCCGTGGTCCAATAGTCATCTCTTCTATCTTTGTGCACCTGTCCCATGAGAACAATTAACACCTAAAAACTTCTTCATCTCTTGAGGGGTTATATCTTTCCACTTTAGGCTTTTTTTTGAAAGTTTGAAATTATTCCTATTTTGATTATAATACCTGTTTGACTCCTCTACAAGAAATTCAAAAAAATCATCTCCGATAAATAATTTCACGGCATCTTCTATATTATTTATAACAGCATCTGTGTTTAATCCTTGATGCCCTAAAAAATCTTCTAAGACCGGTGGATTATCAACATGCGACCATTCTTCTCTCCCGCCTTCTGTATCTGACTCTGAGTCAGAGCTGGAGCTCGAAATTCTTCGTCGCCTCAATGTCCTGGGACGCACCATTACTTCATCATCACTAGAATCTTCATCACTTGTACTCGCATTTTCAAGATCGCTATCACAAGAATAATTGGACAACTTGTCTGCACAAAACTCATCATCACTATAGTCTGAATGCTGCGACATTCTAGGTTAAAGCAAATAAAAATAATACTAACTGAAAATAGCGGTACTCCGATAGATATCTGATATAAAAAAATAATTATTATGCGAACACTTTGCGGAACGATTTTATTTTATTTGGTTAAAAAATTCTATATGAATGTCTTTATCACAATATATTTAAATATTTAAACACGTAATAATATTCACAAAACTCAAAACTAAAGACGTCCGGACACAAGAAGTATTTCTCAATAACTATTCTCTTTGCATGGTGAGATATCCAGGGATATCGGTTATAAAATGAGAAAACAATACATTGGTACCCTAACGGTATTGTACTCGACCAGCGCCATAAAGTGTTCTCTACTTACAAGGGATTTTTATGATACCTATTACCCCAATGGGTATGAAACGGTTCGCATACGCAGGTAGGTATCTTTGTGAACGGCAAACAAACAAATATTTGGTAATACGCAGTTACAATCGGCCCGAGTTTACACGTTTCCCGCACTCCACCGCAAATCTATATGAACCGAGTTAAGACGGCTCCCGCGGAGTACGCGCAATTCACGCGAGCCGACTTAACTCGTTTCCCGCAATCCAAGTGTTAACTTTAATTTCTCATCTAAAATGAGGACATGGGCTGGTCAAGATGATATGGGGGTTTTTCTAGCTAAGAGAATACTAGAATATTACAGGTTTCTATGACCAGTTTGAATTTATGCTTCTTTAGTACCTGTCCACAAAGAGATCTGTTTCCAACAGAATGAGAAATGTAAATAAAACTGTAAGGTATACATTGTCCAAGTGTTGGGTGCTTTGGGTCTTCTTGTCCTAGAACTGGAATAGTTGGCACATGAAAAACAGCACATAGTAAAGGTTGTTTTAAACAAGCCTTTCATAGGATCTATGACCCCAGTTATACTTGATTTTGTTTTCTTATATTAATTTTATAGTGTGTTTGGAAAACTTTTTATAATGTGGATTCTTGGACCTCGCACAAAATGCATTGAACTAGACTCTTGAAGAGCAGGTCCTGAGGTTCTGTAGTTTATAAAAGGCCCCCAGATCATCTTTTTCTTTTAATTCTTAAATATTTAATTGCCTGCCATTTAGAATGGCTGTTGTAGGATGGAAGAAGCATAGAGGTTAGTTTTTTAAGGGCTTCCTAGGTCATTTGTTTCACTAGCATTTGACATTTAAGGCATTCCTGCTATTTGGCCAACAATTAAATGTGTATCAATGTAATTTCTGTGCAACAAAGAGACAGCCTTCATGTTATTAAA